ATGTGCAAAGACCTGGCATTAGAAAACCAAAAGGGAAGAACATGCTCAGCATTTCTCAAGCTGAAAGAACTGGAGAAAAAATTCAAGCCTTGAGTTAACAATATCGAAGGATTCTATGTGCAAAATATTGAATGACAGAGGAAGCATCAAAAGAAGATGGAAAGAATACACAGAGTCACTGTACCAAAAAGAATTGGTCAGCGTTCAACCATTTCAAGAGCACATGATCAAGAACTGATGGTACTGAAGGAAGAAGTCCAAACTGCAGTGAAGGCATTGGTGAAAAACAAGGCTCCAGGAATTGATAGTATACCAGTTGAGATGTTTCAACAAATGGATGGCAACACTGGAGGCGCTCACTTGTCTATGCCAAGAAATTTGGAAGACAGCTACCCGGCCAGCTGACTGGAAGAGATCCATATTGGTACCCATTGCAAAGAAAGGTGATCCAACAGAATGCGGAAATTATTGAACAATATTATTAATATCACAACAAGTAAAATTTTCTGAAGATAATTCAAAAACGGTCGCAGAAGTCCATTGACAGGGAACTGCCAGAAATCCAAGCCAAATTCAGAAGAGGATGTGGAATATCATTGATGATGTCAGATGAATCTTGGTTGAAAGCAGAGAATTCCAGAAAATTGTTTACTTGTGTTTTATTGACTATGCAAAGGCATTTGACTGTGTGAATCATAGCAAATTATGGATAACATTGTGAAGAATGGGAATTCCAGAACATTTAATTTTGCTCAGGTGGGACCTGTACATAGACCAAGAGGCAATTGTTCAAATAGAACAAAGGAACGCTGCGTAGTTTAAAATCAGGAAAAATGCATGTCAGGGTCATATCCTTTCATTATACTTATTCAATCTGTATGCTGAGCAAATAATCCGAGAAGCTGGACTACATCAAGGAGATCAAGGCATCAAGGTTGGAGGAAGACTCATTAATAACCTGCAATATGCAGACGACACAACTGTGCTTTGCTGAAAAGGGAAGAGGACTTGAAGCACTTACTAATGAAGATCACAGACTACAGCCTGCAGTATGGATTACACCTCACCATAAAGAAAAAAAAAATCTTCGCAACTAGACCATTAAGCAACATCATGATAAATGGAGAATATATTGAAGTTGTCAAGGATTTCATTTTACTTGGATCCACAATCAATGCCCATGGAAGCGGCAGTCAATAAATCAAACAATGTATTGCATTGGACAAATGTACTGCAAAAGACTTCTTTAAAGTTTTAAAAAGCAAAGATGTCACTTTGAGGACTAAGGTGTGCCTGACCCAAGCCATGGTATTTTCAATCACATCATATGCATGTGAAAGCTAGACAATGAATAACGAAGACCAAAGAAGAATTGATGCATTTGAATTATGGTGTTGGTGTAGAATACTGAATATACCATGGACTGCCAGAAGGACAAATAAATCTGTCTTGGAAGAAGTATAGCCAGAATGTTCCTTAGAAGTGAGGATGGTGAGACTGTGTCTCATGTGCTTTGGACATATTATCAGGAGGGACCAGTCCCTGGAGAAGGACATCATGCTTGGTAAAGTAGAGGGTCAGCGAAAAAGAGGAAGACACTCAATGAGATGGATTGAAACAGTGGCTGCAACAATGAGCTCAAGCATAACAATGATTGTGAGGGTGGCGCAGGACCGGGCAGTGTTTTGTTCTGTTTTTCATAGGGTTGCTATAGGTGGGAACCAACCTAAGAACAAAATGGAAAATGACTACCAGTTTGTTATACTGTGGTGGCTTGTGTGTTGCTTGATGCTGGGATTTATACCACTGATATTTCAAACACCAGCAGAGTTATCCATGGTGGATAGGTTTCAGTGGAGCTGCTGGTAAGATAGACTAGGATGAAAGTCCTGGAGAACTACTTCTGAAAATTAACCAGTGAAAATCCTATGGATCATCAGAATATTGTCTAGTAGAGTGCTGGAAGATGAGCCCCCTAGGTTGGAAGGCACTCAAGATACACAGTAGTGGAAACAAAGGACTCAAGCATATCAATAATCCTGAAGATGGTTAGGACCCAGTAATGTTTTGTTCTGTTTTACATTGGGTCACCATGAGTTGGAGTCCACTCCATGGCAACTAACAGCAACAACAATGGAAAATGAGTGGGAGTGTCATCTGCAACTCAGTAGAGAGTATAGGTCGGGGGTGTACATTTGGAAGCTACTTGCAGACTGGGAGAACTGAAGGTGTGGGCTGGGTGGATGGACTCTCTTGAGAGAGTACATTAAGGTAAGAAGCGGGGAATCTTGGCAATCACTTATGTCTACGGGTGGAGAGAAGAACAGAAGCGAACATAAGAGGCAAAGAAAGGAGTCAGAGCTGGGAAGAGAACTAGGCAAGTTCACCAGGAAAGGACTGGGGTTTCCTGAAGGAGGAGGGGATCAGCATGGTTAAATACTGCACAGAGGAAAAGTAGGAGGAACACAGAGTACCAGCCCATGGCATTTGGTAATTAGGAGTTGCTGGTGAGCTCCGAGAGAGCAGTTAAGAAGTGATTGAGAAGCAAGGAGGTTAAAGTCACATTGTAGATTACTCTTTCAAGAAACATGACAATGAAGGGAAGGAAAAAGCAAGTGGAAGAGAGGATAAAGAGGAGAATGCCCAGGAGGAAGCTGGAAAGCACAAAGGAGGAAGAAGGAGACGAGCACAGGATGGGAGGCAGGTGGGGAGAGTAAACACAGATTCTGATCTGAAATGCTGATAAAGGAACTGGAGAGAATTTATACTTGGAGGCCTCCATCTAGGATCCCTGGGTGCTACAAATGGCTAAGTGTATGGCTACTAATTGAAAGGTTGGCAGTTTGAACCCACCCAGAGGCATCTCGAAAGAAAGGCCTGGTGATCTGCTTCTGGAAGGTCACAGCCTTGAAACCTCTATGGAGCTTGGTTCTATTTTGCAACACATGGGGTCACCATGAGTTGGAATCAACTTGACAGTGGTGGATTGGGCCTCCATCTTCTCAGTATGGAGCAACCCAAGGTTGTGGTATCTAAGGGAGTGGGAAGGCACACTAGTGGTTCACAATCAGGTATGATGTTTGTTACGAATAAATCACCTACTTGGGTGTTTTTATTTACTTTGTAAAAAAGTAATTAAAGTGGGTTCAGGATTATCTCTACAGTTAAATTCCTAATGCTTTTTTGAGTGGGAGGTAAAGGGTTGCAGTGAAAGTTAGTGATTCAGGAATTGTGTATAACCTTCAGTCATATCTATGCTGCAAACTAAGAACATTAATAGTGTGGCAATTATGAGATAATGGCTTTATCAACTCCTTAACTGATTTACATGCAAACTAGTTGTCTGCTCTGTTTACTAAGAACAAGGGAAAGTGTTTTTGGATGAACTTTTAAACCACTCTGAGCCAGTCTGAAGAGGTACTAAGAAACAGCTTTGGGCTTCTGCATAGAAAAGGTGTGTGGGACCTACTGTGCTCTGGCCAAACTCAGCTTTTCTCAGTTCTTTAAATCCTACCCCCGCTCTCCTATAGGCTTTTTCACATGTCCCCCAATCCCCACCCCTCCTCCACCACTTGGGATACAGGGGGCACACTTTCCTGCCCTGTCACTTTATCTTCAGGTCCGTTACGAACTCCAGTTCCTCTGCACCTCTAGACTGGTTGGGGTCCACTGCTCTTGCTTCCCCAGTGCCTATGATTACTCTAGCATGAGGGATTGTGTGTTGTTCTGACCCGCTGGTTGCAAGCTCCACCCATCTGCTCACCTTTGAATCTCTAGGCCTAATACCGCGCACAGTAAACCAGAAAACCAAACCAGTTTCCACTGAGTTGATTCCAACTCAGGATGACCCCGTGTGTACTCCATAGGGTTTTCATGGCTATGACCTTTCAGAAGTAGATTACCAGGCTTTTCTTTCAAGGTACTTCTAGGTGGATTCAAACCACCAACCTTTCAGATAGTAATCGAGTGCTTAACTGTTTACACTATCCAGGAACTCACATAGTAGGTGTTCATAAAAAAAAAAGCATGATGAATGACTCAGATAAATGAATAAATTTTGAATGGGTTATTTGGGATGCTTTTCATGATTTTACTGTCCAGAAAACAGGCTTGAAAACCACTGAGCTGGGTAGGAAGAGTTTGGTACGCTTGGGTCTATTGGGGCTGTATCTCTTCATCTTTTACTGGGAGCTGGGAGATGCCATGGAACCTTAGTCCAACAAGAATATTTGTTTTCTATATTTGTACATCTGCCTTGGTAACAGCAGTTACTTTTAAAAGGTTGAGGGGTTTGAAACATGGCATCTTTTGAAAGAGGTTTATTTGACTACAAAAGAAAAATAACTGAGTTATGCTGGATTTAATAGGAGAATGATTATGTACTGAAATTAGTTGGAAAAACAGTTTATTTAATGAGTAAAAATTTAACAACAGATTTTCAACTTAAATTTGAAATATAAAATATAAGAGAGCATTTCAGTACCTGGATGTTCACTGCAGAATGATCTATAATATCAAAAATGGAGAACAGCATAACTAACAGTGCTAACAGTAGGGGACTGGTTAAACAAAGTAAACTATATTCATAGAAAGAAATATTTTAAAATACTATTTAATAACATGGGAAATTGATCCTGGTATAGTATTAAGTGAAAAAAGTAGGATTCTTTCTCTGACTGGTGGGATTAAAGATGATTTTGATTTTTTTTATACTTCTCTGAATTTGTCCAGTTCTCTAAAGTGAGTGTGGCTTATTTCGATAGTGAGAAGAAATGGAAATATGGCTATGTCTCTGTTTGAATGTGGTCAAGTGGAAAGACCACAGGGTTTTCCGTCAGGAGATGGGAGGTCCAGCCCCGATCTGTTTCCTACAGACCATGTGACACTGGGCAAGTCATGTGACATCTCAGCAAGGCCTTACTCATTCAGAGTCTGCTCTGGAGGGGGAAGGTGGAGATGAACCAGTGGAAGAGCTATCCCCTCATGCCTCCTGCACTTACCTCTAGGTTGAAGCTGTCAAGGGCTGGGTGGAGTCTCTCTCTGCAGGTCAGACAGTCCCTCTGACAACTGCTGAACACACTGGAGAATAGGCTGAGCAGCAGGAGGTCACAAAGTGGGATTTTCATGGTGCAGGAGCAGGAAGCAAGATGCTAAAACACAAATGAGTGTGGGCAGCAATTAGTATAGCCTTTCCGCGAGGGGTGGTCAGGACTGGAGACCCTAACACAGGGAGATCCTGCAGGAAAGACACTCCTCTGAGGAAATTCCCCTCCCAGGAGGGAATGTATTGTCAAGGGCACAGGTGGCCTGCGAGGCCTAATGTTCATGGGTGGGCTAGTGTCTGGGTTCCTGAAGAGAGCACTCCTGTGATTCCTGCCACTGAGCTGGCCTCAACACCACACAAGAACTTTCTGGAGCATCTGTGGTATGGAGACAGAGCTTTCCTAGGTGCTAAACGCATTGCTTTATAAGAAGTCCTGGTGGTACAATGGTTAATCACTTGCCTGCTAACCAAAAAGTTGGTAGTTCGAACTCACCCAGTGGAACCTACTCAGTGGCTCTACGGGAGAAAGACCTGCTCCTGTAAAGAAAGATTACAGACTCGGAAACCCTATGGGGCAGTTGCTTTAAAGCTTACCAGTGTATGACTTTAAGTTAACCTCTCTAAGCCTCAGTTTTCATAGCTATAAAATGGGAGTATCTGCCTTGTCACAAGGTTATGTTAAATGAGATATGTAAGGGAACTTTTGCAAAGTTCTATACAAGATTAAGATGTATAAAATATGAGATTTGTTAATGACTCGTTTACTTCCTGTCATCCTCCCCAGCCTTCCCTGCCTCAGTCAGGAATGCCCCATGCCCCAGAATTCTCTCTTCCAGAAAGCTTCTGCCAGGTTCCTTGTCTGTTTCCCCTGATAGACTTGAGCTAGCTTCCTGAGGACAGGGCCATGTTGTTCACCTTGGTATTCCACACCAAGCATAGGACCTGGCATGTGGAATTGTGTATTGAAAAATGAACTAAAAACCACTCCAATGATTAGTTAGATCAGTAGTTTACCATCTTTATGAAGCAGTGCTTAGAAGATACACAGTTTTTTGTGTTTCTCTTTAAAATTATCTTTTGATCAAGTCTCCTGAATCAGAAAGCTATTTCCTTGGACTGCATCATTTGGGGTCCCAGGAAAACTGCTCCCATAAAGATTACAGCCTAGGAAACCTTATGGAGCAGTTCTGCTCTGTCCTGTAGGTTTGCTGTGAGTCGGAATTAACTCAATGCCACACAACAACAATGGAACCATCTTAACTTGGAGGAGGAAATGGAAAGGGGCACAAGGGCACTTTCTGGGATGTTGGAAATGTTCTTTATTGGGGTGTAGATTACAGGGCTGTGTGTTTCCATTTGTCAAAACTCATTGAATTGTATGTTTAAACTCTGCATTTCACTGTATGTAAATTTCACCTCAATAAAGAGTTCAATGTAGAAAAACAAAAATAATTGCCTTTATTGCTTTTTCATCAGACTATACTGAGAAAATGTATAAGGCTTGCTACTCAAACGCAGTCTGCAGACCACAGCGTCAGCATCACCTGAGCTCTTGTTAGAAATGCAGAATCTCGAGCCCCACCAGCCCGAGAACCACTGAATCAGGATCTGCATTTTTAGTAAGATTCCCAGGTAATTCATATGCACTCTAACTGTTGGAAAAGCACTGGTATCAGGAGGATAAGAAATGGAGTAGGTGGCAGGAGAAAGGAGAAGATTCTTCAGGTGAAGTCACCCAATGGCCATGTTGGGAGACTACCCATCTCTTCTTGTGCATCATCAAAGCATTTCATACCAAGAGGATGTCAACTATACGGGCGCTCAGTAAATGTTTGTTAAATAAATGAGGTGACATTTCAGATGGGTTTTGAGAAAACAGTAAGAGTTTGCCAAGAGGATAGAGAAAAGGGCATCTGAAGGATGCAGGAAACAATATTTTCAAAGATATAGAGGAGTTGGAATCATAGCTTGTGAGGGGATGGTGAGCAGATTGGTGTACGGGGGCCACCTGTGCACACTCCTCCAGGTAAGCAACCCACTGAAATGGAGGCTGGGCCAGATAGAACGGGCTCTTCTTTGGCATCCTAAGGAATTTCAACTTCACCCTATAGATGATGGGATATCCTGGGCTAATGAATAATGAACACACAAAATAAGGCATCTATACAATGAATATACCTCGAATTTATATTCTCTATCTTGAGGGCCAGTGCCTTGGTTCAGATTTGACTTGATTATTGTAATAGCGTCTAATAAGCCCTCTTAATGATCTGGCCTCCCTCCAAGCTATCTCCAAATCTGATGATGGCACTTCATAGTTAAACAATAATTCTATAACCCCTATTGCTGTCAGGATGAACTCCAAGAACTCAGAGCTTTCTCCTGCCCGCCCACATGTCTAACTTCAACTGCTATTGCTCACCCTTGCATCTCCTCTAGTCCTGGTGAATCACATGTAGTTCCTCAGCTGTATCAGGCTCCTTAATGCCTTTGTATCTTGGTGCTTACTGTTCTCTCTGCCCAGAATGCCCTTCTCCAACTCATACTTCATACACACCTCAAGAATCATCCCCTCTGGGAAACCATCTCCAACCCTTGGTCTGAGTTAGATGAATCTCCTATGCTTTTCTATGGCATTGTGAAGCGGGACATCATAGTGGGAAGCAAGCGAGCCTGAGGCTGCATCTGTCAAACAGGCAGAGCAGACCCACATTGCAGATCTGCGACGTGCGCTATCTCATCTACTCAGTACAGAAGGCTGGTTCAGATCCCAGTTCTGCAACTTGCTAGCTGTACTTAACCTCTCAGTTCTTCATCTATAAAAATGGGATGATAATAGTACTTAATGGAGCCCTGGTGGCGCAACGGTTAAGCGCTAACCAAAAGGGTTGGCAGTTTGAGCCCACCCAGAGGCTCCTAGTGATCTGCTCTTGTAAAGATTACAACCTAGAAAACCCTATGGGGTGGTTCTACCCTGTCACATAGGGTCACTATGAGTTGAAAATCAACTTGACAGCACCCAGCAACAACAACAACAGTAGAACCTATCTCATAGATTGTTACGAAGATCAAATAGGTTGATATCTGTAAGCACTTCAAATAACACCTGGCACATAGTAAGTGCTATATAAGAGCTTATAAGAGAGAAAGAGCCCAGCTCATAACATTCACTATACTCCTGTTATTGTCTCTCTTGTGGTGCTTATCACATTATACTGTAATATTGGGCTTATGGGTCTGTTTCTCCCACTGCACTGTGACCTTGAGGGCAGGGTCATGCTTTCTGGTTCTCTGTATTTCCACACCTAGCACAGGGCCAGGCATTGAGGAAGTGCTCCATAAATGTTTGACAAGTGACAGTGCAGTCTCCCAGGAGCCCCTCCTTTCTCTTAAGCAAACACAGAGGTTGAGGAGTATCTAGAAGCATCTATCTCATTGGGGGTCCAGGAAGCTTATGGCACAGGAGCCACTTCAGGACTTGTGTGACTAAGTGTCTATTAGCTAATTCTCCACCTTGAGGAGGGAGGGATGGGGTGGGAGCTGGTTTTGTTCCAGAGCAAGGCAAGATGCCATCTTAAGCAGGAACAAATGGCCATTAGGCATGCTTGGAATAGTGCTATATGCTAGGTTTATACAGGTTAAATAGGGTTTGTGGACAAGCTCTGGAAGTTCATCACCACTTACAGGTTCTTTTGAAGAGAAAATATATTTTGAGTTCTAAACAACCACCATATAAGCAAATGTTTTACAACACAATCCAATCTTAAACTAAGGACTGCCTCAATATTTATTTTGTTTAATACGAGAATTGTTTTTACATTTCTTATCAAAGTGAGTTTCAGTCTTTTTAGTCAGGAAACATTTTCGTAGAATTTGTCTGAAACGGTATGGCTGTGCCCCCTTTGACCACATGATGGCAGTGGCTATATGTCACAGAAGAAAGGAAAGCAGAGGAGACAAGGGATTGCTTCCTTCCCTTCCTACTACAAAATTGTAATACATAATGGTCACATAGGCTGAGCTGATAAGTTGTGACAGACGTTAATGAAATGCTCCCTGGTTGAGGTTTTTCATGAACTTCATTAACCGCTGCATTGTGCTTATTCAGGAAACGTTTGGTGGATTGACTGATGTTTGTTATCTCAAACTCTGGGTAAATGGGATTTAAGGATGAGCTAAAGAAAGAGGATGAGCTCCTGGGATATTTAGCATGTGCTCCATTTAATAGCTTTCCTTTATGTATAATGCGGGGCTTCTTTGGATTGGCTCTTGGGGAAACCTTATCAAATCTACTTGGCTTTAGCCAGTGCCTCCCTGCTGGTCTGTGGCACCCCCGCCGCCACCCCGTGCCGCGATTCTTTTCCACTCTCTCCCAGCCTCTATCCTCCCTATCCCTTTGTACCCCAACCCTCAGTTTTAACAAGTGACTCCACCTATTATTTAGAAACCATTCATGTTCAATGCTGTGCATCCTCCGCTGCATTTCAAAGAATCTGTAAAATAGGTATAATACAATATAGTAGTCTGATCTCTCAAGCTCTTTGTGACATTTAAATGAGAAAACTATACATGACAGCTAAAAATAAATGTAAATATTATTATACGACAAACAAAACCAGTTGCTGATTAGTCGATTCCAACTCATGGCGGCCCCATGTATGTCAGAGTAGAACTGTGCTCCATAGGATTTCCAATGGCTGATTTTTTAGAAATAGATCTCCAGGTCTTTCTTTCACTCTGTCTCTGGGCGTACTCGAACCTCCAAACTTTCAGTTAGGAGCTGGGTAACGTTAACCATTTGTATCACCCAAGGACTCCAAATATTATAATAAAGGGGGTAACATTTTATACTTTTTGCTATTCCTCATAACACCTAGTCCAATTGTGTTCTAGGTTAAATTACATTTTGAATTTTTCTTGAAAATTCAGAGAAGTTTTTCATTTATGGAGCGCTGATGGTGCAGTCATTAAGAGCTTGGCTGCTAACCAAAAGATCTGCAGTTCGAATCCACCAGCCGCTCCTTGGAAACCCTATGGGCAGTTCTACTCTGTCTTATAGGGTCGCTATGAGTCGGAATCTACTTGACGGCAATGGGTTTGGTTTTTGGTTTTGGGAGCTCTATATGTTAATGTCAATTAAAATGAAGGTGAGTAATTAGCTAATTTATGAGTTATATTTATGTTTTAACTTCACACTTGGAAACTGTGATTTTGGGCAAATTATCTCACCTTCTTGAGCCTCAGTCTTTTCAACTGTAAAATGGGGATAACAACAGGATTTTTTTCTTTAAGTGCACAACAGTAGTGACCATCAGTAAATAAAACTTACCTGAGTATGTTTGAATTTTACATGGTTTATATTTCACTTGGTGAACCAAGCTCAGCTAACACTTCTATGTGGCAATACCATAATCTGGGCATCTTGTATTGAATAAAAAAATGTTTACCTTTTATTTTGGTAGTGACACTTTATAAATTTAATTATGCCACGCTGTTTATAAAGAAAGTGTCATGATGTTTTAGCCTTAATCTATTTTCATGCAATCTTACTTCCAAGGGCAATGTAATTAGTTGCTTATCTGTTTGGAGGAATACGTATAAAGATTTAGCCGAAACTAAAAGCTAATTGAATTTTCTCTTACGAGCCAAAAGAAAACCAAACCTGTTGATGTAGAGTCGATTCTGACTCATAGTGACCTTATAGGACAGAGTAGAACTGCCCCTATAGGGTTTCCAAGGCTGTAAATCTTTATGGAAGCAGACTACCACATCTTTTTCCCGTGGAGCAGCTAGTGGGCTCGAACCGCCAACCTTTCGGTTGGCAGTCAAGCGCTTTAACTACTGCGCCACCAAGGCTTGTTTATAACCTATGAGAAAGCCTATAATTTTGGTGGTTTTAGTGGTGAAGGGAAGAGGGGGCAGCCCTTGTTGTAATAGGCATGTACATCCCTGTCTTCATCAACTACATGTATAGAATATCGTTCTTTACAGGTAAGAAAATATTTTTATATTCATATACAATCTTGTAATCTAGGGAGTCCCTGGATGGCACAAATGGTTAAGCGCTTGACTACTAGCTAAAAGGTTGGTGGTTCAAACCCACCCAGAGGCACCTTGGAAGATAGGCCTGGCAGTCTGCTTCCGAAAGGTCATAGCCTTGAAAATTCTGTGGAGCTGTTCTCCTCTGCACACATGGACTTTGCCAGAAGTTGGAATCAACTCGACGACAACTTACAACAATCTAAGGTTATTATATTATCCTCTTTTTTGAGATGCACATAAATTCACGGAGGTTAAGCAACTTGCCTAAGATCATCCCGTTTAAGTAGCAGTGCCAGGACTTAAACTCAAGATGTTTTGATTCCAAATTCTGTGTTCTGGGAAACCATAAACTCCAAATACTGGTTGGCAAATTCTGGTAGAATTTAGGGTGGTCTTTATTTGAATGTAATAAGAACCACATTACTTTATTACATTTAGAGCACAGGCTATATGCCGGGCACTGTGCTAAGTGCTTTATAGGCATTCACTCTATGGGGTAAATGTTATTATCACCATTTTACAGATGAGAAGAGTGAGGCCTGAAGAGGTGAAGTAACTTAAGGTAGCAGAGCTGGGACTCAAACCCACTTGATTCCCAAGCTCATGCTGTTAACCATACTTCTTAATGATCTCTGCAGGTGTCTATGGAACACTGTCTTTGTGTAGGTGAGCTGGTTCTAAGGACTTCCTTTTGTCCTCAACTCTAGGCTCCTCCTCTCTGATGGCAACCTCTTTATTGTTGCCTCTCCCCAGTTCGTAGAGGAATCATTCATTACCCAGCAGCTGCACATCCATCAGAAGAAAGGCACGGGGGTGGATCTTTCACAGGCCCCATTCTTTGACCCATTGTTGATGGGACTCCCACGCTGAGCTTGTGCTTGTTCACTGCCCACCAGCTATTCTTGAGGGAGGCCTCTTTAGTTTCTCTTCCTCCTCTGACTAATACACTTACACTTAACAAAACACCTCTTTGTCTACTCTAAATTTCCACCTGGGAAAAGGGGATGGGCACTGACAACGTAGGGGACAAAACACCTCCTCTGCCCAACATGGGCCAAGTGTGCCCAGTGCTGGGGAGCTCTGCCATTACCTGTGCCGTTGCCAGACTCCTTCTCTCTCTGGGCCTCAGTTTCCCTTTCTGTAAAAAGAGGCAGTTGGATTAGCTAGTTAATAGCCTTTATTTTATGACTGGCCAGAGATTTGTCCTCTCCTAGTAAGGGGAAACAAGAAGGAAGTGAAGAAGAAGAGAAGGTAGAGTTCACGAGGAAGCAGCTTCACAGCGCAGCCCAGGTCAAGGGCAGTAATAACAGCGTAGTTATGGTTTCAGGAGAGTCCTTAAGGGGGCAAAAAACACATTCCATCAGGGCCTCCACAAAGGGAAACATATCACTCTCAGTTTTTATCTTCCTGGTCTGGACCACGGTCCCACATATACTGTCAACATAATTTAAAAGATTTTAAAAAGCTTTTGTAATAAAAGTGCTCAGTGTTCTCTTCAGAGATTAGAAAACGTAGATTAAAAAAAAAAAAAAAAAAGAGTAATGAATCCAGACCAATAGTCTTCAAACTTCTTTAACTTTGTCTAACTATTGCTAGAGGTCTAGCAATAAAACATTTTTGAGCACACATTCTCAATTTATTTATTTATAAATTATATGCATTGTAAAACTCACTAAAGTGCAAATTAAAAAAGATAAAACAAAAACTAAAGCCCCAATTTCCCGAAGCCCAGTGGGCTGTCAGTCATGCACCCCGCTTTGGAGACCAGTGGTCTTGACGG